TCCTCCTTGCTAAATCACTTCGTCAATTCAATACATATTCCACGCGGAGCGGGCTATCAATAAGCGTTCTGAAGTCAGAAATCAGTAAGGAGAACAGTACTCAAAGAGCTCCTCCACATCCCATGACAGTTACTTTGAGTGGGGTTCTTTTACGCAGATCGCCAGTGAAAATACACCGGCTCAGCGTCAGCGACTTTAGAACAAATAAATAAATTTACAGTGCCTCTTTCAGAACGCCTCAGGCTTCCACCGCGTCCCGACCGCTACACTCGTTCGGCGGAATAGCTAAAGAAAAGTTCAGAAAGTTGGGACTGCCGTGCGTCACAGGCGAGAAGTGAGCCACGAGCCCCGCCAAGCACAGGATCTCTCAGAACGACCTCCAGCACGCACACACCTGTTCCTCGCCACGGGCCCCCGAAGCAGTCCCGGAGCTGCGGGGCGCGCCCGGGGAGAACGCGGGCGGCGAGGCCACGGAGCGCGCGCGGGGCCCCGTACGGCGCGGCGCTGCCCGCGGGAACTTCCTCGCCTCCTTCGTTCCCCGCAAAGCACGCGGGAGCGGCGCGGGGCTGCGCGCACCGCACTCGCGCAAACTTGCCGAGCGGCGCCGTGCCCGCCAAGCGCCCTCGCTGCTCCGCCGGCGCTAAGCTCAACTTGGAGCGCAAACCGGGAGCGATCGCGCGCCCAAACTCGGAGTTCGAAGAGACGAGGGGGAGGCACCGGCGGCTCCAAAGGAGCGCAAAACGGGAGAGCGAGGGGTGGATCGCCCCGCGCCGAGCGGCTCCAGCCCTCCGCCCCTTCCCCGCTCCTCAGCTCCCGGCAAAGTTCGGGCGCTCCGGACCCAGCGCTCCCCGCAGCCAGCTCCGTGCCGCCTCCCGAGCGCGAGGTAAACAGAAGTGCGTTAGAGGGAGCCCCCCTCCGGAAACTTACGTTTGATCTGCCGGGGTTTGCTCTGCTTCCTGCGGGACATGTTGCCGGCGGCCGCTCCTGCCTCGCCCCAGGTACGGAGCGGAGCGGGGAGGGACGGCTGAGGGCGGTGACAGATCAACAGACGGCGCTCATCGAGGGGCTGCGGCCGCCCCGAAACAACGAGTGAGACCGTGGAGGAGCGGGGAGAGGGGAAGAGCGCGTGTGGAGAAGGGAAGAGGAACGGGGAGAGCGAGAACGAGGAGGAGAGAGCGGCGGAGAGAGCGGAGGGAGGGGGGAAGGAGCGAGGGAGGGAGGGAGAGGAGGAAGGAAGGAAGGAGGGAGAGAGGGAGGGAGGGGAGAGCCGGCTCCTCGCTCTCTCTCTCCCTCTCTCGCCCGCTCTCTGCCGTTGCCGCGCCGCCTCCGCTCCCCACGCCGCGCTCCGCTCCGACTGACGGGCGGCGGGAGGTGGCGGCGAGGGAGGGGGCGAGGGAGGGGCTTTCCGGGACGGGGGGGGGCGGAATGAGGGGGTTTGTCCGTCAGCCCTGACGGGCAGCGGCTGCTCCCGGAGACTGGTCCGCGTGCGGTTCGTCTCAAGCCTCCGGGCGCGGGAGGCTTCGGATGTCCCGGCGCTGTCGAGACTGTGGGCTGTAACTTTCCGGAGAGGGAACGACGGAAGAAACTCCGTCACAGCCGCGCAGCCTTCACGGGGCGTCCGCAGAGCCGGGTGCTTCGCGCTCCGCAGCGCTGCCCGTCGGAAGGGCAGATGCTTCCTCCATCCCCCGGGCCGGCGCTGCGGAGGCTCGCAGGGTACGAGGCAGGGCGGAGAGAGCTGAGTTCTCCGCCATCCCGCGGCTCTACCACAGGGCGCGAGTCCCGCCGCCGCCTCGCAGGTGTCGGCAGCGCTGAGGGGAGCGCTACTGTGGGCAGGGCGGGCTGCGCCTCAGCACCGGGTGCGGGGCCGCCGCCAGCGCAGTGCGCGGGGCGCCTACGGCGGTGTCCCCCGGTGGGAGGTCAGCTCCGTGACCTGCCCGCTCACCGCGGGTGCTTGCTGTAGAGCCTCGTGGCGCCGAGCGTTGGGTTTCCTCTATGGTGGTTCACTTTTTGACTTTCGGGTGAAGAATGGAGATAAAACAGCTGTCGACCTGGTCTTCGATTTGTTTTGCCCTTGTGAACAGAAGTAGTAAAAACTAACGTCTGACACTTCTATCACTTATTAGGTGTCCTGACTGTGTTTTTAGGACGAACTTTCTCTTGACCATGCTGTTTTAGTGACCTAGTTCACCCAATTCCAACACACATGTGTACAAACAGCCCATGCTTTCCTTACCTCACTGTTCCGCTCAGCACTGCACACATTACCAGATTCTTGGTGTTGTCAAAAATGAACTTCGCAAAAATCTCGGGAAAAAATCAACCTGATTTCACTTCTGGGAAAAGGATGCTTGATATTGAACCATCTTTAATACCGTGTTTCCCCAAATTTCAGGTCTGACACCTGGGTGTACTGTGGTGTTATGTGCCTCACAACTTCACTGGCTGGAAACGCTTTCCCTGCAGCTAAACTGTTAAAACATTTATTTAACTCATGCATCTGTGATCCGAATGCTTGAACAGAAACAGCTTGATCTTTCAGAACTTTCAGTGACTTTATGACCAATATTGCAAAAGTCTTCACGTAAGCAATAGAAATTATAATACAGCAACATACTAAGGATTTTTAGTATACCGTTTTTTAGAAAATAATGTTTGTAAATCACAAAGGATTCTGCCAAGGCACTTTTTTATTAAAGAAGAAAACATGATAGAAACTGCAAAATGTAGTAGGTACTTGTTTTTCAGGTATTTTAAGGACTCTTGAGTGAATAATGCATGGCCTTTTATTAGCTGAAATGAATACAGTGTGCTACATTTGTATTTCAATTTATTCTCCAGAGGTGTAAGCTCATATTCAGACACCAGTGAAGCAGTGGTAGTGTTTTCAAGAAGGTATTCTATGGCGATTAGACAAACATACCAATCCACCAAATGAAATACTCTCATACAGCTTTGCTGCAGAATTTGGCTAGAACAGGAGCCTGGGATACCTATCTTTCAAATTAGAGTTAGCGTTATTTACAGGTGAAAGATTCTTTATCCATTTTGATTATTTCCTTGAATCTCAGCTCATTTTCCTAATCAGAATTAGCTGTCCTCTCCTTCAGGTAGGTTGCTTGCTTCTGTTTCTGTTTTTTGCCTGCCTTCCATAGAGTGTTTTCGGATCAAACAGATAATTTGACATCTATCAACTTTGAGCCTACTGCTAGTTAAATGCAAAGGAATGGAGTTGGGTAACCTGTTTCCAACATTTGGACTATCTGCAAGTTGTAAAACAATTTGGCTGCTGTAGCTTAAAAAATAATACACTTTGCATGGTATAGAACAGTTATAAATAAGTGATAAATGCAATGCAAAATGGGGCAGTGCTAGAGTCTGTATCACAAATAACTGTTTATTCTTGTATACTGTTTAGAGTAAATTACATAAGAGCATCATTATTGTGCTGACTCTTGCTTTCGTAAATATTTAAACAGCAATGTAAGTTATACACTTTGTGTGTTCTGAGATATTAAAGCCATATTCTACTTTGTCAGCTCAAAAGAGGACATATAAAGATGTATTATTTCTTTGACTATTCAGAGAGATGTATTTGATCACTTAAAGGATTATTATTCTTAGTCATTTCAGTGAGTTTTGGACTTGTTTAGCTAAAGGTTAAGAAGCTGTTTACAAAATTCTTGAAAGAAATGTACATATGCTTGCTGTTTTAAAATGTAATTAAGAGTGTAAATTAATGAACAGTTTTCCCAAATTTAACAGAGAAACTTGCAGTAAGTACATTAAAGTGCTGTGTGAAAATTACCTTTTTTTTTTTTTTTTAGTAGAATGAGTAGCAAATAATGTACTCCAGATGAAAATAAAGTTTTAATGTGTATAGTAGATGAGACTGACATACTATCATACTGACACGTCATGTGGTGTAGCTTTCTCTCAGAGAAATAGGCCCCTTAGAAGCGGTCATTCAACCTAGATTTGTATCTTAAGAGTTAACCTCTGCACACACACATCCTCCAAAAAGAACAATGTCATTTTCACTGTACTGCTATAGCTTTGATGAAGTCCACACCAGGGCTGCAGTACCTGTGCTTTTGTGGCTCTTGAAATTCACCTGCTTGATGCTGCCTGTTTCAGCTATAAAGTGCTCACAGTGTTGTTTGCCTACTCAGCAGGGCCAGGTGCAGCATGCAGTGTGGAAACTGGGGACATAATATCTCTAGTGCTCATCTGCCCATAAACAACAGTACAGACTGATTACTAGAAGGAGTGGAGTAAGAACAGATTAAAAATGTTGTGCTGTTTTATCCAAAATGATAATTTAGTGTGAGCACTGGTGGCATTTGCCCATTTCAGAAGACATGCCAATTGCAATAACTCAAGAAGAAAACCTCCATAGAGCCTGCTTCTTAATCATCTCTAGCATCATTACTTCCAATTGTCTAAAAATACCTTATGAAGATTCTGCTAAGATTTATAAAAAGCCTCTTAACTTAATGGATTTCACAATTTAAAATTTAAATTCCTGAAAGGCCAGTTCTCTGACAAAGAAACTAGGAAAACTGCAGCTTAAATTTCCATGATCTTCAAGTGTTACTAACCTTACACGTAGATAACAAGTATGGTTTTTAAAACAATGCCCACTATCACTGAAAAAGGGAAATACAGGAATACTAAAATTTTCTCTTGGCAGCAGATTTAACCTTCTGACCAGAAAGTATGGATTTCCTTTTTTTTTTTTTTTTTTTTTAAAAAAAAAAAAAGGAGTGTACAGCTAGCAAAATTATTCCAGACTTCTCAAATAAATCTGGATACAAGCTATTTTATAGAAAAGCACTGATTTATAATGAAGATTTCCCAAGGACTAAACAGTAATGAAACTGGGAAGATTATGTGATATTAAAAGTGTATGCTCTGTTGGGTTCTTAGATTTTTATTTTCTTTTAAGGACTTGGATTCTTTGATGACTTCAATCATTGCGTTTGATTTTCTCTAGCTGAAAAAGAATAAATGATAGTACTTTCCCACATATTATGTGCTTACAGTGTTAGAAGCTGTATGTAGCGTAGTATTTTAAACTCTTTTCCCTTCAATAGGAAAGCAGTTGTCTAGGCTGACAATGAAATGATGATCATTAAAGCTTAGAATAAACATCCTTGCAGCATAAATATGGAAACAGCTCACACCTTTTTCCAGCTGTTCTTAAAAAAAAATCTACAAACAATTTAACTCTTATTTCATAATTTGGAAATTTTCTATGCTGTCATGACACATGCTGAAAAGAAAAAGTAAAGAAACTTAGATGGCAACAAGAAAATAGGCTTAAAAACATCACCAAGCAGCTGACTGATCATATTGAGCCTTGAATTCAGAAGTCAAGTTTCCTCTGGTTTTTTGAAATGAAGAAGAAAAACATCTGCCAGTTCGAATCTAGAAGCACAAAGAAAATGCTTCAAGGCAGATTCCCTACTATGTGCAGGAACCTACAGAAGATCTGAGGATATCCAAAGAGAATGGGTGAGACTGGTGGGTTTATATTGTCCTCTCAACTAGTCCTGTAAACAAGTTAGAATATTACATTTTTTTGTGAATGTTTTACTCCCCTGTACTGATCACAACCTTACAGTGAAATTCCTGGCCACAAGATTTCAATGGATACAGCAGTGTGGGAAGCCAGACACATAGAGTGCTGGAATCAGTGCTGAGTCAGACTTCATGTTGATAGTCCAGACCTTTGCATCCATTCTGGGAGGTCTGCCAGTGGTTAGAGGCCAAATCCCATGACCATTCCATCTGGAGAAGGAAGAGTACTGTAGAAATAAATGGAGACCTGGATTCTGGATTCATAAGCAGACTTTTCCTAAAGAGGGTACCTTGTGGATTTGAGTTCATTTTTTGGTTGGTGCACGGCTTACTGTTTTCTTGGTGTCAGTTTTCTGTATCTTCTTACGTATTTGTTTAGAGCAGCAATTGTTTCACTCTTTCAATAGTTCGGTTATGCAAGATACTTCTCATCTCACATTAAAATTTATATCTTATTTATTATCCAGAAATAGTGGCAAAGATTATTCTTCATTTCCTGACTGGGTGCTCTTTGATATTGCTCAGGTAATCTCATGGGTGAACAAACTGTTAGCCTACCAAACTACTTAGACTTTTGGGGCAACTTAGAATCATAGAAAAGCTGCTGTAATTTTCATCATATAATATCAAATGTCCTTTTTTGCTGCACAGGATTGCATTAATACCTTGAAAAAAAAATCGCATTTACTTCTGAAAAATTATACAACAGTTCCTGATTTTGACTTCTCTATTCTCCTTTACAGAAAAAAATATATCTTAAGATCTACAAAATTCCACTGCAAAGATGATTTGCACAAGATAACATGCCTTCATTTGCAAATGAAAATTCACTGGCTGTGGCATAGCTAGAGAAAGCTTTGCAGTTGAAGAAAGCTAAAACGCACCAGTGCATGTTCAGAACGAGATACTGTATCAACTTGTATGGCAGCATCTGCAGTGGGGAGTGGAGAGAACGTTGTCCTATGAAGAAACAGTTCTGGATTCCCCAGTTTAATGAAATGCAGCCCATTCACCCCCACTGCTTACAGATGGCCACTGAAAACTTAAAAATCTACTGAAATATCTATAATCCCACACTGCATTGTGAACTTCTGCCAGTAGCAAGACTGCACAGCCCAGAGCAGCAGTAACTTACTGTTTTGGCACGTGCATGGGCTTCAGAGGCCAGTTTTGTTACAAGTCACAGGACTCTGCATTCTGTGACCCTATTCTCCCCAGGAGCATGCTGCCCTTCACACAGGCTTAACGCTGTACAGTCTGGGCCTCTGAGAGGCACCTTTCTCAGAGATGCAAACAATAATGTAGCATGGGTTTTCTTTCTGCTTCTAAGCACAGAAAGGGAGGAGTTCAGAAGAAAATAAAATAAAAAGGAAGAAAAAGACAAAGAATAGCTGAACAGGAGAAACAGATGGGGAAAAAAAAGATGAACAGATGGTTGCAGTGTCGTAAAATCTTTATTTCTATCTTTCTTAGATTTTAAATAAGCCAATAGCAGTATTTCATGTAGACATAGGATAACATAGAAAAGATAACATAAACATTGTCAAATTACTGTTTGTGGCTTTTGAGTGCAAGAAGTGACATGAGTATAAAGTACAACTATAATCAGAGCTTGAACTAGAATAACATTTTCTCTTTTCCTTGGCCTTCCAGTCCACTGTAACTGTTGTATTTCATTCCTTTGGGGAGCAATAATCAGTGTCTGCATCACTGCAAATAAACAAATTAGATATAATGGGCATCTCTGCCTAGTTTTGGTAAGGAATATTATACATGCACGGTAGCATCTCTGTAACATACACTGTAAAATTCTCAAGAATTTAAAAATATTAGAAGCCTGGAAACCAAAATGAAGATCCTCCCTATATGTACAACAGTACTTACAGTGGTTTACTGGTTTACCATTACGACTTTTTAATCACATTCTTTAGCTTTTTAAGCTCAATTTTTGTTCTGCCATTTTCTGTCTAATGGATGGTCTTGCACAAATGTGCAACAGTTGCTGGTAGCTTCTATGGCATAATCTGTACTTATGACTTATCTTCTCCATCACATCGTGCAAATGATTATCCCTTAGCTCAGAGCAGTAACAATATTCTCTTTCTGTTTATCAGAATTGTTACTGTTTACCAGCTGAAGAAACATATGACTGCATCATCAGCATCATTAATAGCAATAAATAATAGAATCTATTATTATAAAATTCCCACAGTCTGTGCCATCATAGCATCTTCTTTTCAGATATAGTCTTAACATGGATATAATTTGTTTATTAAGACGGTGCTCAAAAACTATGCAACTCTTCAATTTATGTTTTTATAATTAAAATGAACCACATTAGAAAGGAAATCTTGCTACTGAAGTAGTCTTTCAAGACTTGGACTTGCAGAGGTTTTCTACCCTCAGAATCAGATGCTTTGCACAACAGTACAGTGATCAAAGAACAAAGACAAAATGTAAATGATACTGAAAGTTGGTTGACTTAAATACATCACTGACTTTGCTGCTATTAACAACTTAATCTCTTTCATACTGCATCTGCTCAGAACAAAATTTAACTTAAATTGTCCTCTCCTTCAGTCCACTAGTGACATCCAAACATTTGTACACTTTCAAAGGAAAACTTTGATTTTTATCTTTTTTCCTATTGTTTACAATTTTATTGTCTCAATTACATAGAGTCCTTTCTTATTTTCCTTTTCAATCCCTCTTGAAAATGAAATTTCAACTTATGCAAACAATCTGATTTCAACAGTGTTAAACTAGAGACAAACTTTTGAATAACACTGACAGTTGAGAAATAAAATAGCGTATAAGGAACAAGGAATTAATTTCATGATTGTTTTGCAGTCTCACTGATTTTGAAAGAACTTAGATGGAAGCTCTCCAAATAAAAATCTGAAGAACCACTCCCTCACCATTTCCCATCAGGCACCCAAGGGACTGAGTTGCCCTAAATTTCAGAAGATCATTTTCATCAGTACAAGTGAGTTTAGAGCAATTTTGTAGTGTTCTCCAGTCATAAATTACTTAGCATTTGTTTCACTATGGTGTAAGCAACTGAATAACGTAAATAATCTAACCTTTATTTTCTGTCTGTTATTCTTAAAGAAAAAATGTTGGCTAGCCTCATTCATATAAAATACTGATTAATTAATAGTAATTAATGAAATGTCTTTAAGTAATAAAGTATCTTATTAGGAACAGAATCTAAAATGATCTATCCTGTGTTCTAGGTTCTCTCTATTACATAACAAACAGTCATTCATACTTATGTAAATTAAAGTTACCCAAGTATCAGATAACTAAGGTTAACTTGTATTGATCCCACTATAGTTTTGAAGACTATATAGGTTCACTGTTTTACACTTCAGTGTAAGAAACTGAAATTTTTTCGGAATCAGACCAGAAGTGTATGCAATTCAAAAACCTGTGACAATGAGCAGTAAAAAATGAGCAGAGCTGCATTTATGAGAGAGCAATCAGAGTGATAAGATGCAGTCTCATGACACAACAAGGAGAAATCACTGCTGTAAGGCAGTTTTACTGGCCACACAACATGCTGCTAGGACAGTACTCAGAACAATGCACACATCGGTCTCATCCCACTGTTGCTTACTTCAGGGAGCTCTGACAAACCAGCAAATGGGCCACTGCAATATGTTTGCTCTGGTCTATATATTCAGTAAATGTTAGAGACTCTTTAAGTCCTGGATCACAGTACTCGTCTCTTGCTCTAATTAATTTACCTTCAGTTTTTCTGTGACAAATGTAATCTAATCCGTTAGCCGTATTTCTAGTACTGTCGATCAAAAATATCAGACCAAATTTGTTCTCTTTAAACTTTGCAGACCTCAGTTACTTGCTGAGTGTAACAAAAACATGGAGTTTACTGTATTTGTTCTTTTAAATTTCTCTTGCATTAGATTTATCCACTTCCAAATCCAGATCACTGATTTCAGTACTGCCACTGGTAAACAGAAGATATCTTTCTGGGAGGTGGTCTTCTGAAAGGTAAATTCATTTTCAGTGATTAAAAAATGTGGATAGCTATTTTGCTTTCATATATTGCAAATTATTTCAATAATTAACTGGGGTAAACCTACAACAGCGAGAGCTCCAATGGTGACTCCATAGACTTTATTTTCCACTTGATAATGCTGAGTTTATTTGTGTACATAGTCAATAAATTAGCTTCTTTCAGACAAATTTTCACTCTTTATGTGGTGATATATAAATATATGAATAATAAACACCAAGCAGTCAAATTTATGGAACCCATATCCCTATTCCTATTTTCCCACTTTTTGGCCCCCAACCAACAAAATCCTAGAGACTTCTGAAATGTGATCTGTTCCCTAGAGGTTGTTGCCATGGTCGCTCTCTGGTCATGAAATGGTAGATCTCATGACTCAAGCAGTCACAGACTAGTATATTTGTTCAATGAGCTTTTGCACTTGTTTTTAATTTGCTTTCACTTACCCTGTACGACTGGTTCAAATAAAAAAGTAAAAATTGTGTAAGTGAAATTGTTGCTTCCTGGTACTTGATTCCCTGAGTTACTCACTGGAAATATTAATGAAGAGTTATTATCTTATTTTAATGTTATATGTCGCATTATTGTTTTTGTTAAATCATTTATATTTGTTAAATCAGTGCTGTTTCCTTTGCTTTGCCACCACTTTGCACCAATCCTTAATCCATCATTTTAGCCTGTATGTCAACTGTATAAGATTCCATGTTGTTTCTGGACTGAGAATTGATGATCAGAGGGCTGGAGCACCTCTGCTATGGGAACAGGCTGAGAGGTTTATGTCTCTTCAGCCTGAAGAAGAGAAGGCTCTGGGAACGATCTTATAGCGGCTTTCCAGTACCTGAAGAGGGCCTACAGGAAAGCTGGGGAGAGACATTTTATAAGGGAGTATAGTGACAGGGTGAGGGGAAATGGCTTTAAACTGGAAGAGGGTAGATTCAGACTAGGTATTAGGAAGAAATTCTTTACTGTGTGGGTGGTAAGACATTGGAACAGGTTATCCAGAGAGGCTATGGATGCCTCCTCCCTGGAAGCACTCAAGGACAGGCCAGATGGGGCTTTGAGCAACCTGATCAACAGGGAGGTGTCGCTGTCTATAGCAGAGGGATTGGCACTAGATAATCTTAAATGTCCCTTCCAACCCAAACCGTTCTATGATTCTATGAATTTTAGGATATCAGAATGGAAATTTTATTTCTCTGAAGTTAATGAATTAATCAATTCATGTTTCTACTTTTTCTTCTTTGTTATTATACTTCCGTGATGTATTCTGTACTCCTGGGGACTGCATTTTCACTAGTGAGTGTCTCCATAATTGTAAAAGTGAAATTAAAACTAGATATTTGCTGTTAGGTATTTGGAGGATACAGCTCAGATTTTTTACTGCTGACATGTCTCTAAAAGTAGAAAATACTTAGTAGCATATGGTTGAAAAACTGGAGTAACTATGAACTGGTTTAAAAATGGAAGTGCTACCAGATAACTCCTTAGTTTAAATCAGATACAGCTGAGATCAGAAAACAACTTCTGATTATCTTACCCAAAATCTGTATTGTGAACATTTTTCTGTGTACATTTACTCTATCAAAGATTGACAGCCAATGTTTATATGAAACTATCATTTCTTGTATTCTCACATGACATAAAATTGTATGACTTTCAACATTTTTTAACTTCAATGCATTCTTTCAGAAAAAATCTGGGCCTGCAGCATCCAATTCAACAGCCCGTATAGCAGTGTAGAAGTTTGGCTTCCTTCCCCATCATTTTTTCTAGGGTTTGGAATAAAGTCCTCTGGATACAAGATACAAGATTTATATGAAGATTGGTCGGTTTCTACCTCATCTAGAACAAAGTGAACAAAGCTTTTGATTTAGGGGGTAGAAAAATATGTACGTGGATGGCTATGCTTTATTTTATTTATTAGTCATCACTTCATGTATTAGTTTCAATTCTCTTACTTCTATGGTTCTCTCACCTACCTTTCATATTCTCGTCAGCATTTGTTAATGTATCACACTTGATCTCTCTGTTAAACTCTTCTGAATTTCTTGTTCTAAAGTGTTGACCTTGGTCTTGTGCACAGCAGTATGAAAATAAAGAAATTTCTGTAAATAAAAGGTAATCTGAGTAATGATTTGTGGATAAGACTGGTGAGAACCAAGCATGTTGTAGTATAAAGATATACATAAGAAAGAACACAATTATTCAGTAAAAGATAATATATAAGAATTAATGGCATAGCCTCATAGAAAGGAAAGTTTAAGTTTCTAATGCAAAAAATACTTGCCATGATGAGGTTTTTTTGTGATGGAAGCTTAAAAAAATGGTGAAACATATTAATTAATATAATCAAACTCTTAATAGGAAAAGAAATGAAAGTTTATTTTAGATTTTCTGTATTTGACCTACACGGTATTGTTGGAAAATCCTACTTCTGAAGTACTTGAATTCAAGAGATTTCATTTATATAAAAGTAAGAATCTTTGAATTCAAGAGATTTCATTTATATAAATGTAAACAGCTATAATCTGTTTCGTTTTTTACTTTTAGTTTTTTTCATTTTGAAGTGTATACAAGTGTATACATTTTATTAAATATAACTTTGTATTGAAAATAATATATTGAACTGTACAAAAGAAAACATTTTGACCAAAGACTTAATTTCACCCAGTTTCTGTTTTTTAAATTTCAGAACAGTGTATTTATAGTGACTTTATCTTAGAATAAGCAAGCATTCACACGATCAATGCACTAATTGAATATATATATTTATATATTGACTATCTGTTCAGAATGAATCTCCTTGTTTTCTAAGAGTATTGTAGTTCCTGAAATCATCACAACCACATACCATCTGTTCTAAAATACATCTCATTTTCAACTCTATTTTATATTATCTGAATCTTAGACTGAGGTTATAAGCAATGGCCTCCAACAGTATGATTCTGTTTCTGTTTCACCAGCTGACCTCCTGCAGGGTCTTCCATTTTCAAACTGCTTAAGAAAATCAAAGAATTTAGTTCTCCTCCTTGAAACTAATGATGTATCTCCCTTTAACTTCAGTGGCAGCATTAGAAAGTGTTGAAAATCAGTCCCTTATGTTAAAACTATGCAAACTTTCAAAGTGGTAATCAAATACAGATCTTCATCTCAAATCAGGTCATGACATCAGCATATCCCCGTAGCAATAATGGTAAACTGTTACCAGAGATTCACAATATCACTGAAGCAAAGCACAACTGCTTTACGTTATCACTTACTGATGTTTAAATGGCTCATGCTTTAACATTATTTCCAAAATCTCCTTTAATTCTGACATAAAGCTAAATGACTGTAAGCAATATATTTCACTTTATGCATATGATGTATTGCTTTCTTGCTAACTTTCCTTACTTAAGATGACTTCTCTATCTTATAACCATGACTAAATTTCCAGCTACAAAATGAATTTGATTAAATCCAACCACTTGACCTTGTCAGCTGAAGTCCCCAGACACCTCTTTACTGACTACCAGTTTCCATGGGTTTCTAAGCAGTGGAACAGTAATATTTATATCCTATCCTATGTTCTCTGCCCTCAATAACTACATCTTTTCCCAAATTATTATTAAAATTAAAAATGATTTAGAAGGATGGAACTTCATTCCTTTCAGTCTAAGTTGTATTACTTACAATGAATTCCCGTTTTCATTATATCTCATCCAGACGTTACCTTGCCATGCGTATCTCTAAGACTACTATTCAGAATCTATACTAGCCTTTCTACAAATAAAACAAATTAAAAATAGTTCCAGGGAAAAATTACATTGCCTCAAAATGTTAACATTCTTATTTTAGATACAATTTATCAGTAACTAAGCAAATGTTTTTTTAAAAGTGCCTTTTTCATATAGTGTCACTTTTCAAGGTAATTTAGAAACTTCCCTGCCTTTAGAAACTTAATGTTCTTTAATTTCATCCAAGACAATCCATAATCCCACTCCTTTACAGTAGGTCATCTCCAACTGTGAGCTTCAATAACAATTGGGAATCTACAGGAATACTGTTTCTTCATTTAGACCATAGTTTAACTGCATTTTCAGACATCTCAGAGAGGTAAAGAATTGCAACTTCAACAAGGAATTGTATCATGCAAATAAGTGAAAACTGTTAAAAATTTAATAACCTCAGTGCATTTATGTTCCATAAATTATTGTTTCATTCAAGGGTTCTTTTATACATTATTGAGGCGTATATGTGCCAGTTCATATGGTCTGAGAAGGGCAAGACAAGTGAAGGAAGTCCAAAACAGTTGTCATGTTTAAACAATTAAAAAAAAAAAAAAAAAGAAAAAAAGAAAAAAAAAAAAAAGAAAAAAAGAAAAAAAAGGAGTAAAACTGACTGGAAATACTAAAATGAACTTACTAGTCATAACAGCCATAAGACCATAAGGTTTTGGAAGGACTTCCAGCAAGGGAAGTGTCTACAGGTAAACTAAGTGAAGTTCAGATGAAACAAATGGTTTCAGAACAGGATCACATTGGATAGACCCTGCAGGGGATAGGGCATGATAACTTGTATTTGCTTTGGTTATATGCGAAATGTATGTTCTTGCATGTTTCAAAAGATTACTGTAGCATTTGTGGCAGACTAATTTGTAATATTTAATTCAACATCAAAACCAAATGAAACAAGTTTCATCTGATGCAAAACGTCTCCATTATTTGGTATATTAGATGTCATAAAATGCCAATATCCTGAAGGATACAAACTTATAAACTTTACCTGAAATGATTATATTATATTGGGTTTGTTCCCCTGCTGCACTGAAGTAAAGAGGGGAGATAAAGAGTCTTTTATGCCTCCACCAGTTCAGCACCATCCTGGAGATAAGAACCCAAGCCAGCCTTCAACACAAAGCTGGAGAAATCACAGGGGTGCTCCAGCTCCTGACAAGCAGAACAAAACACTCAGTACCCTCTGTCAGACAGCACTGAAAGAGCATTCCTTGCTTCACCCTTCCCTGCTACTCATTGCCTCTGGGCATCACAGACTGTCTGCATGTATGTAAATGTATCCTATCCCAGAAGTTAACACAAAATGAAGCTTTCTATAAAGATTGCTCAGATCTGTGAAAAGGAACCTTATGGCCATTTTACTTCCCTCTAGTAAAGGAAAATGACATTACAGGACCTTAAAAGTTGCCCATTTTGTTTCCTACTGTGCAGAATTTTCTGTTTTAGTAAACGCACACATATGCACAAAAACAAACCAAGTGTGACTATGTGTACATTTATATATTTGCACACACATATGCCCACAGATACGCATATGCAAATATATAATTTTAAAAAGAAGTCCAGAGAATATTTAATGTTGTTGATTAAACCATAAAGAAAAAGAAGTACTCATTAAAATATTATTGTATTATTTTCATATTGAATCTCTCTTTTTGATTTTACAATGTCAGATTTGATGTTGGAAAGTTTAGGTGCAGTATGCTGTTTCTTTCTGTGAACTGTCTTCCTATCTGTTTCCTAAGCTGTTATTCCACACTTGTAATCATGTTATTTGAGTGTCTTATATGTTCTAAAAATAACCATAATAGAAGTTGCATGTAAGTGCAAGGTGAGAAGTGATGAACAGGACAGCGACACAGCACAGCCAATCTTTCTGAGTGTAAATGGGAGATGAGACCACACTGCGCAGCAATAAATTATTATTGTTATTACTGCTTATAAAGAACCCCAGGGTAATGGAAGCACTTCAGACTAATCACAAAGAGACATATCCCCTCCCCTAAAAAGGTTGTAATCCAGATACTGTTTCATCTTCTCTCATAAGAGTAAAATAAAATGGAGAACGATGAGGTAAGCACATTATATTGGATCATGCTTAAGTCTATACTGCATCAACCATAAACAAAGTTTATTTAATTACTTCCTGTATGCTGTATTTTTGCCACCAAGGAAGAAGCCATATTGACTGTTTGGGATTTGCTGAAAATCAGCGTGGAATATGCCAGCAATTAAATTTCTCTTGTGTAGACATAACTTGCAAATGATGCATGAATTTATTTTGCATGTTCATCACAACTTGAACCGAATCAAGCTTTCACTTCCTGGAGTCATCGTTTCCAAGCAAGGCTTCACACAAAACTTTCATTTGGCCTCCAGCCAATTGTCAGCAATGCCTACAAGTGCGTCCTGCACTCCAGGCCCTCAAACAATGGAAGTTCAGAAGTTTCCGCAAACAAAACTAATCCATCGTTTCCACTCCAATAGAAAGTACCCTTCATAAAAGAGACTGGTAAACAATTCCTGAAGAGGAGCATTCCCTTCCAAATAATTAGTTCATCAGTTCCTTTCAAAAACACATATATCCCTAATCAAATCCTCTCCTGCAATGCCGACCCCAGCATTATACAACACCTCAGCCGCAAACAAGATAAATGGCTGCAGGGGTGAACTGCATGGAAATTATAAAGAGAAATCACACATCACAAGGACTATAATGTGAGTACAAAAACATGAATCTAATACACGATAATGATGAAGAATCTACTATCCCTTTCCTTGTTGGTACTTCCCTTTTTTTATGCTGTTAGTTAGATGTCAAGACAGACAGAAAAGAAAACCAGAAATTAAATCTGCTTTTTCTGAAGTTACAGGCATCGCTGCAATATAATTCAGTGGGATCAGGGACTCGTCTTAAACATTAACAATGTAAAATTATTTCAGTGGAATTTCTCAAGAGTTAAAGTTCTATTTCAGTGTGAAGAAGGAAAGATAAATCTCACTTTTAAAGTGAATGTGTTGTCTTCTAACCAAATATTTATATCAAATTAAAAAATATATAATCTCTTTTGGAGATTGAGTTTTAGTCAGATTATTTACTCCTCTGTATCTTTCTTTTTCATATCCTCCACAAAGGAAAAGGTGAAAAGGCAGGCACTGGTATACAGTGTTGAAAAACTAAAACAATTTCAAAAACACATCTCCACCCTGAAATTGCAACTAACCTTTAAAATAACTATAACTGAATGAGATTAGAAAACAAATAAAAATGCTTGTTTCTCTTTGGTAATTTATTCTGTGCCTA